CATCTGTCTTCCCATCACGATGTTGACCAGAAACAATTGAACACATCTTCCTACAATGCCCGAGCGCGGTATGACTGTGGAGATGGTGGGAGAGGGTATGGAGACAGATGGGCACCACGACACCCTGGCCGTGGGATTGGAAAGTACTGTTGTGTGAAACATGGCACCCGTAGCAAACTACCACCTTTGAGGATAATACATTTAAATTAGGGAGGCAGGCGGTGCTCTGGGCGCGACGCGGAAGACGTTGCGTTTATGAGATGGAGGAGGTACGATTGGATGGCCAAATCTTGCAAGAGGAAATCAGGCTGCATGTGCAAGCCAAAATTACTATTCTGAATCAATGGGAAAAAATGAAGGAGAAACTAACATCCCTACATATTAAAGCAGAAATCAAAAAGTTTATTTAACAATTTAGCAATGACTGGCTGGGAGGGACCCTGGGGAATCCTATTGCAAAAAAATGCTGGGAAAGGGAAGGAGAAAGGGAGGGGGAGGGGGAAATAGTGGGGCATGGCAACAGGAATTATCATCATCTTTTTCAGGAGTGGACAAATGTCTGCCCAGACGTACCGTGGCGCCCTGCTTCAGACTTCCCAGACCCTATCCCGCCACCATTTTTAGCCATTGTGGGGGAACAGTGGTACGGAGGAGGGGGTCCCTAGTAGGATTAATCTACACGACTCAGTGATAGATTGCCAAGATGTGGCATTGGGGCTGGTAGGGGACGGTGGAACTAGGGTGTAGTAACAAATATCTGGCGCTAGATTCAAGGTGAAGAGATTCCCCCTTCCCCCCAATAAAGTGCTCAGTCAATCCCTTGGTCCCCAGGGTAATTAATGTTGGCAGGAACTCCCCGCAAGTGTCTTCTGATGTATTCAATTTCAGTTGTATATGGGACGTTAAGCCCGCTTCCCAGCAGCTGATGCTCCCCACCAACAGATGGCGCCCCTCCCCGGGTGCTAGTGGTGTCTGCTCTTACCAGCACCACTAACACTGGCAGGGGTGTTTAAAAAAAAAAAAAAAAAAAAAAAAAAAAAAAA